AACATTATGAAAAGGGTTATGTTGCGTCTCCAGCTTTCGACAACATATTGTCTGAGGCTATAGATCTTCAGAGAAAACTAAAAAATACCTACTCATAAAATTACTAACTTCTGCTATTTAACGCCATTTACTCACACAGTTGATTCTTCTACTGAGCGTTACCTGCTTGTATAATCTGGGGTGGAAGTTCTGCCGGTACTCATCGGAACCGGTTCTTTTTGGAGAGTACCACTTCTTTCTTGGAACCCGGTACCAAGTTCTGTTACTTTTTGTGTTACTTGGCAGGTTCGATTTAAATAGTGCATGAAGTACCATTAACTTTCAGAAAACTTTATACTCCGTACACTGTGAGGCCAGCTTCTTGCAAAGGTGAGTGAGTACTTGTTGGAAAGAGCTTCACGACTGTACACGGTTACTCCTGTTTATATTGAATGTTGAGTACTTGTTGGAAAGAGCTTCACGACTGTACACGGTTACTCCTGTTTATATTGAATGTTGAGTACTTGTTGGAAAGAGCTTCACGACTGTACACGGTTACTCCTGTTTATATTGAATGTTGAGTACTTGTTGGAAAGAGCTTCACGACTGTACACGGTTACTCCTGTTTATATTGAATGTTGAGTACTTGTTGGAAAGAGCTTCACGACTGTACACGGTTACTCCTGTTTATATTGAATGTTACGTAGTTCTGCTACCCATACTTTAAGCATTGTATGATTAGTTCTAGCTCTCTGGAAATTTTAAATCATCGTCATTCTATATTTAAGAACTTTGCAGCTGCCTTTTTCTGTAAAATATTTTACTCCAAACGTTAGATATTGCATTTATCTCTCTTACTCGGCTGGCAGTATTGTACCTCAAAAGGTTACTTACAAATACTATGTGTGTGTGTGTGTGTGTGTGATATTATTCAACGAATTACTGATAAACAAGATAGCGTGCGATCATTAGAATTGTAATATAAGGTACATGACACTAACGTGTAATGTTTGTTAGGTGTTGTGACCTTTCGTGACACTTGGGAAAACTCAGCCAACCTTAACTTTAACCTCAGGATCATAGCGGTAACAAAATACTTCAACCTACCACGTTTCTGTATTCAACAAACAGTAGTTTATTTAGACACGTACTTCTACTTGTATGCTGCTCACTGAATAGGTTAAACCGTTGTGTCTGGCCTTGAACTTCTAGCAGTTCAATTCTATTATGAGCTCAGGATCAGACCCGTACGAAAAATGTTTGAAAGGGGGGTTTCAAGTTTGTGAGATCAAAAGCCAACATATATTGTGCAAAACATGCTAATACTACGGGGTTTTTGGAGGATATCCCCCACCGAATATTTGTAAGAAATAGATGCTATGAGATTAAATTTGGAAGCAATTTTGCATGAGATATAGCTTAAACAGGCATGGCTGTTCACATAAAATCCACAAATATCCAATGAAAAGTCAACAAATAATCATTCTGTTGTAACACTACATGGGTAGCTAGACTTAAATTATAATAAATATGTATGTTTTATTATAGTAAAGTACTGTAGTATCTACATGCAGAGTAGTTACTAATTTAAACAACTGTGTACGACAATAGTACATTAGCTATTTCAGTCATTGGCTATCATATACGTACAGGTATCGTTGTATGCTCCATTCTTCTGGGGTGCTTTTCCATAAATAACTTGCATACAGTTTCAGTGTTGATAGCAGTTTCATAATGATTATGTATTGAAGCTAGATCGCTGTCTTACTTCGGTTTGTCTACACACCTGAGGTAATTATTCAGCTGGCGGAGAGCAAGTAGATGCCGAACGTTCACATGAACATGAACTTAGTGGCAGTGTGGCAAAGAGTTTCAGTAACATAAAGATATTTGGTACATTGAAGCACATTTTGAAGCAGTCGGTGTCTTACAAAACCTGACAGTAGCAATACGGCTTTGGTATTCCAATTACAAATGTAAACAGAAGTCATTGCATGCAACTATTCCAAGCCAAAAAAACGGCAATGCTTCATGAGAAGAATGTAGACTATGTAGAAAATGTCAAAGACCATAAGCAACTGCGCTATAGCTATATCAGCATAATTTTTTTTTACATCACAAAAATAGTGGGTTCTGCAACATCCCCCACCCCACCTCACGCGTGGAGTTGTTATATTTCAAAAGTATCCTTATGAGCAGAAACGTCAACGTTTTGGCAACGTAAAATTACTATCTCAAACAGATAGCTAAGTTATTAAAACTATACTATAGAATGTTATCATATTAAACTGAAACTTTTAATGCTGATCTTTCATAGTGAATTGACCCAGATATGCAAAACTATATAAATTTTTGGTGCATATATTTTGTAAAAAAAGTTTATACTTTTTTGTTTACTTTGGATGTATTATTTTTTATTTTATTTCTTGACAAATGGTTATGAAAGCTAGGAAGCGCAAGACTATTAATATACTGTTTAAGATAACTGATATTTTAGTTTGACACGTTAAAAATCCGCTCCAGTTGACTGTTCCTTTTTCTAACAGCTTGAAACACTGTAAGCAAGCAAAAAGTTAACACCATGAAAAAAAAAAAGAACTCTTAACAAAGATATTTTTATTAACTGATTTACCACTTTTGACTTTCTTCACATTCAATATTTTATTAACCACGTCCGCAACTTGTAGAGGTTTTTTCAGGGTGTTACTTGCCACGTGGGAGAAAGTCTTGCCATAAAAAAAAGTTTGACCTTTGTTTAGTGACGCGTTACTATGTTAGTGAGGGGGCGGGGATGATTAAATAAGGAAAGGGGGCATCGTGTTATTTAAAGTTTATTGAAATAACTTCGAACAAAGTCTTTCGGTATTCCATTGCTTAAAAATGGCTTAACATATGAACAGAATATGTATCCACTACTGATTAGGCCTCACATGTAGCTAATAATGTCTTCAATTACTGACGCGAGGTTTCGCAGGGAATCCCAGCAGTAAAAGTCTGTGTTGCAGTTTATAAATATTTTTTAGCTGTTTCTGTAAAAGTACTTTTGTACTAAGTGGAAGAACATGGTACATGCTACAGCCAGTCGGAGTCCAAGGATTGTTATGATACTATTGTATTAACCAGTAGTGGTTTTGTTTTTGGAGTGCGTCGATAAGTTCGGATGTTGGTTTGTTTTGAATTTCGCGCAAAGCTACACGAGGGCTATCTGCGCTACCCGTCCCTAATTTAGCAGTGTAAGACTAGAGGGATGGCAACTAGTCATCACCACCCACCGCCAACTCTTGTGCTACTCTTTTACCAACGAATAGTGGGATTGACCGTCACATTATAACGCCCCCACGGCTGAAAGGGAGAGCATGTTTGGTGTGACGGGGATTCGAACCCGCGACCCTCAGATTGCAAGCCGAACGCCCTAACCACCTGGCCATGCCGGGCCTTCGGATGTTAGCAATAAACAATTTGTTTGTTAAGCGCAAAGATACTCAACGGGCTATCTGTGCTCTGCCCACTACTTGTATCAAAACTCAATTTTTACCATTGTAAGCTTACAGATTTACTGCTGAGCCACTGGGAGAGCAAGCAATTAACAAATAAATTATTAAATAAACAGGATGTAGGAAAGCACCATTGAGTAAATTATTGTACATCAGAATCTTCCTTTGTCAGCTTTCTTAATCTGAATTAAGTCTCTTTACCTAATCAAGAGGTGGTAGTAGCACGGGATATTGTGAAGCTAATTGTTACTATCTGCTAAACAATATCAAAATGTACTAGCAGCGAATGAGTATTGAGTAATTTTGATTAGGTTTGAAGTTCGGCATGTGCAGGACAGTAGGAAGCGGTAAGACCAGTCAGGCCAATGCCTGACAACTTATTCATTGCATGTATAGCTACAACTTATGTATTAAAACTTGGTTATTTTAACTCGGTACAGTACGTTGTGTGTATGCAGTAGCTGTAGTTAAAACGGCTCAAGATTCATTCTCGTAGCATTAATTTTTTTTAAATATTCTGGAGGGCATGCTCCCAGACCCCCCACCCCCACCTCCCCCTAGAAATGACGATGTTCAATGGCCTGGCTACTCCAAAATTGCTTCCTACAGCAGAGAAGTGATTGTAATACTAGTAATAGGCTTTAGTCCTCGGTTCTTGTATATCATTGTGAATAGTTACAGGTAAATGAAAATATACCCCAGGTTGATTTTTTTCCCATAGATGTTGACTAGACGTTAAATCTTTCTTTTGCCTCTTTACTGTCTATAATTGTTTATTCATTATTTGGCTTAATGTCATTTTCCTCGCAACTCGTATGTATACTTATTTGAGTATTTATAAAAGTCAACAGTACCAAGAGTCATCTATCTCGGTATTTTCAAACTTTTTTGTCTGCGGACCACCTCGATGGAGCAAAAAACCTTGCAAACCATCTACCGGTTCTGTCCCACCCGCTTTCGCTTACCATCGCACAAAAACACACAAGAAATAACGGAAAGTTTGGCGCTGCTTTTGATGTGACTTGTATTTTGGACCAGAGCGCGGACCACACTTTGAGAATCACTGCTCTATGTGGAAAGCGATACTGAAACAGTACTGGACAATATACTAGATGACCATTTATGAGTTCTAGAAATCTCTCTCAAGAGGAAGACAGTAAAATTATTGAACACCAGTCAAGCTTACGATGCCATTGTGGGAGTGGAACAGAGGGTATTGTTGGCATTAAGGCGAAAATATTATATAAATGCTTAATTTCAATATGCAGAATATTGTATGGTGTCTGGAATGAAGATGGTCACGATGTAGAATTACGTAATGATTTTTTTGGTACTAAGCATTTTGAGTATTAAAATATTTGCTGTTTATGTTGTTGTTTTTTTCTAAAGTTTGGAAAACAGCTTGAGATAAAGTTTTTGTGCTTATCGTGTTTTATTTCTGTATTTTAAGCGGAAGACGAATCCCTGTAAGTTATGTAATTGTACTATTGCATTCTCATACATCGTTTATTTATTCTCTTTCCTCAGATTAATCGAATCGGACTCCAAATCACTGAATTCTTTGGCATCATCACATTCCAGAAAATCCTCGAACACGAGTCAGGTGTCATTTAATTCGGGGAACAGCCCACAGAGTCTAGCAGCGGACGATGAGCAAGAAGATGTATGGATGACCTGGGGTCAGGTAGTCAATGAATGGGGTCTTTATGTCAAAAAGAAACATGCTTATGTGAAGGTAATTGCATACTGTATGATCCTACAAATTATTAATTGTGATGGTAAAGGCAGTGAATTTTATTACGAATTTCGAGGTCTTCTCTTTGGACTGTCTTCCTGATTTTGGCTGTGTGAGCCTGCTGAGCCGAAGAAGCGCGCTTTAATTTGGGCTTTTGCAATATTGAAATGTGCTGCCGGTAAAACATGCGGGTTATTATAGAGTTGTAGCCGAGGGTTGCAATTGGATAAAATTTGGTAATGTTGCATTTTTGTATCTTCTTGACAACCAAGCAAACATAATGGGGAATTTCAGAAAATGATTGATTTTTTGTGCGCCAGCAATACCAAGCGTAAGGCGCACGTATACCTGATTCTATTGTATTACTCATCACAATCTCTACCAACCTACCCTTAAATCTAACCCAAAGTAGCGCATCGTGCGTTTTATATAAATATATATATATATATATATATATATATGACTAGAAGAATTTTAAAAAGACACTTTCTAGTCACGGTAGGAAGCGCCGTCGTTTCGTACAAGTTGCGTGTCGTTCGGTATCGCAACGACCGAGATATCAGCGTGACAGACGGACAGGTAGACGGATTTTTGCCTTTATATAGCAGATTACTTAATTTTTAAGACTTGCAGAGTTTTATCAACTAAAAATATTGGTTTTTGTTGTGTTATTAGCACAAAGTTTGTTAGTTAACATTCTTGTCTAGGTCTTATAATAACTGTAATATAGACATTGTAACGTTCATATATTTATGAAAATTAGTACTAAGGTGTTTTGAAACCTAACAAATTGTGAAGACTACTGTAATGGTACATCACCAAACTAGTAAAAAAGCGATCATACGATGTCGTGATCATACTGCAGTTTCAAACTATAAAGAAATATTAACTAAATCCGATATGTTTGGAGTTAATATCAAAATTAACATTCCCCAAAATAAAAGGTGTCCAGTGCGTCATATTTCTTGTTTAGCAAAGAGTTTTTATACACAACAGAGTGAAACAAATTTAATGGGTAATGAATACACAACAAAATGAAACATATTTAATGGGTAGTGAACTACACAACAAAGTGAAACATATTTAATGGGTAGCGAAGTACACAATAAAGTGACACACATTTAATGGATAGCGAAGTACACAACAAAGTGACAAATCTGATGGGTAGTGAACTATTGTGATATTACTCGTATTCTCCATGATATTGTTACATACAACAATAGGCAATTTAAATATACAGAACAAAGTTTATTCACAACCCAATAATACAGGTCAGTAACATCAGTTTTAACTTTATTTATATGATTATTTTGTGTTTGCAAGTATGAGATAATGTTCGAAGAAAGAGTAACTGCAACGTACAACGTATTTGATTGTAGTGTTCGGAAAACTTTAATATTTTAATTGATGTAAATAGACTTGGATTTTTGTAAAAATCCTGTGGCCGATATGTTGTTTGATAACGTGGGAATTGTATACTAAAGAGACGCCTTCTCACGGGTTTAACAACGTTAAATAACTGAAGTGTAAACCATTAAACTTGGGAGACTACAAAGACACCTCACTGCGTACTTGTAACAGACGTAGTACAAAATCCAAAACTCGAATAGGAAATGGCAGGAAATCTTGGAAAAATTGGTAGAGTTAGATGTTGGTGAGCTGGCTTCCCATTTCTTTAGTTTATAAATCACAAACAACAGCAGTAGGAAATTCTGGTAAACTTCTTGTAGATATTTTTAAGTGGAAGATTGTAGCCTTCCATTCATTTAATTTCTGTTATATGGAAACGACAAAAATGTGTTAACTTTGGCAGTAATTGTCAGGCAGTTGATTTTCAATTTTAACGTAGTTAAGTAGATGTTTTAGTGTATTAGTTTTCGTAATTTTATCGTTAGGAATATCTTGAGACAATTTTGTATATGTTATGTTGGTAGAATTACAAAGCATCTTATTGAAAGTTCATTGCGACAATTTGATTTAATTTCTCTGAATGTCTTTTGAAAACTGAAAGTATGTAAAGTTCAAATTCGTTTTTAATTTACGAAATCACTGTGGAAATAATTGGAATGCACAATTAGGTGCATATTTCAGGTTTTTAACCTTGCATCCCTGAAATTATATTTATAGTACGTCACGAATACATCTATAGAAATTAATCAACTAAAACCGTTAGCATGGAAGGGGGTTTGTATTTCAAAATTAATTCTTTACCATGTGATTGATTTTTAAATCATTTATTACTTATTCCATACTATTTTGTTTAAAGAGCCCATTTAAAGCAGGGACTAACAAAACTTTTTCACTGATAATTTTTACTTAGGATTTGGTGAGGAAAGGGATTCCACATCATTTTCGTGGTATTGCCTGGCAACTGTTGTGTAACGCACAAGTTTGTCCAGCAAAAAATAACTATGCCGAGTACATTAAGAGTTATTCACCATGTGAAAAAGTCATTAGACGAGATATTGCAAGGACTTACCCTGAACACGAATTTTTTCGCGAAAAAGATGGAGTGGGTCAAGAGAGTCTCTTTAACGTTATGAAAGCTTATTCCCTTCATGATAAAGAAGTGGGTTATTGCCAAGGAAGTGCCTTTATTGTTGGATTGTTATTATTACAGGTAAGAAAACATTAATTTATTTAAAGTAAGAAAATTAATTTTAGTGATTAATTAGCTTAAAATCATTAATCAATAAGAAAAAATATTAGTAAGTATTATGAACATCAGATGCCACTGTTTGAAACCCATTTGCTATGGATAAACTTAAACTAGTTTGATAATTTATCTTTCAGTGCAAAATAGTCTTGAAACAAAACATTTAAAGTAAAAAAACACAAAGTAAGTAACAACTAATCTTCCAAAACTCGTAAATTGTTGCTTGATTACTTGGCATTTTTTCTATGAGATTGTTTGATGAGAAATTGACAGAAGCTCAGGATTTGTGAGAATTTAGTGACCTGCTAGTACGTAACTAATATCAAACTATCAAAATCTGACATATCCATTCCTCCTGAAATTATAAGCGTCCTTCACTTGTGAACAACTGAATCTATGGAACGGCACAAAAATAAACTGATGTTTTAAAACTGTTTTCAGGGTTGAAAACAAGGTAATTCATTGTTCTTTCCAGTTAAGTTAATTTCAGTTGTAAATTATTCTTAGATGCCAGAAGAAGAAGCATTTATTGTCCTGGTGAGATTAATGGAAGACTACAGATTACGAGAAATATACAAACCTACTATGGCTGAACTAGGCTTACGCATGTACCAACTAGAGTGTATAGTCCAGGTATGGTGATTTTTACATACTGCTAGGTATCATGTTCTAAACCACAGAATATTGTCTAGAATAGAAAAATCTTCTATACCATCTAGTTTTTAGTTTGTTGTTTATACCTGTAGAAGTATACAGAGTGAACTAGAAATGATACATTATTAAATAACTTAAGTCTTTGTCTGACACTGTGTGTGAAATGGATGAATTATGGTGTTTCCCCACAGTATTATTTATGTAAGGGATAATAAAGTTTGTATATATTTTTACACTTTCTGATTAACAATAAACAAAACAGATGTGGACCTGCATTACCTACTCATATGCACTTAAGAAGGGATATCATGTCCTAGATTGAGACATGCTACCTGCACAAAATGGATCATACGTAATATAAACAATATTAAGAGTAAAAACAAAAAACAACGTTTTTTGGCACTGTTCATTGAGCCAAAAAAAAAAAAGTCTGTTTTTTGTTTTTTTACTATTAATATAGTAGCATAATTCCTGAAAAGAAATTATAATATAAACAAATCGTTATATTCAATAATGTTTTAGTTTTGCAGTGTCTGTTTGAAGAACTAAGTAACGTCACTTAGAGTGAGTTTTTAATCATTAAATGTACCAGCTGAACTCTGTAGATCAGGTTGGATGATTACATGTTCCAGATATACTATATTGTCTAGTTAAGAATAAATTACACAGTGTGCAGACATCTAGAAAAATGTGTAAAGATGTTTAATTTATCGTGTGTAGTATATAGTTCAAATAAATATTATTCAAGTTTAGTTGCATATGGTGAGATGACATTTTTCCAACTCTTAAGATAATTGGCTGTATGAGTTCTGAAGTGTATTCCTTCCAACCAACGTGCTTTGGTATATCAGAATATATAATTGAAAAACACTATCTTAGAACAAAATAGATAGCATCTATACTCCAGATAAGGTAATTGTTGCACCACCTGGTATGTGTATAATGCCTAGATTGGGTGAGTAAATGTATTGGTATGATAGTATAATACCAAGACCACACCTTTTTAGAATGTATGATGTCTAGATCAGATAATTAAATTAATTCAGCACACCATCTCAGATCTAAGGTGTGTAGTCTGTCTAGTGAAATTCATAGCCTTGATTAAATTCTTGAATTTGCCAACTAGGGATGCCTGGGGACCCCACCCCCAGGAAATTATCTTAACAGCCATCAAATTGTGACATGTGGAATGATGTTCACTCTAGATTAATAAAGAATTATTTTATTTGTGTTTAATGGTTTAGAGGCATCTAGAATTGGTGGGGGCAGTATTGAAAATAACTATTTGTTTTCCTGTTACCTCTTAACCATTGTTTTATTGATTTATCTCAAGGAAATTCTACCTGAGCTTCACATGCATCTCCAATCACAGAGTTTCCACACCTCAATGTATGCATCATCTTGGTTTTTAACACTCTTCACGGCTTCCTTACCCTTCCAACTTGCTTGCCGAGTCATGGACCTTCTGTTATCAGAAGTACGTTTTTCCATTTCTATCCTTTATTTCCTCACAGAACATCAACACACACAGAATTGATGCTTGATATGTTTAACAGTATAGCATTATATTTAGTAACATTTTTTACTGTGATATGATGACTTTTTTTTTTCTGTATGTTTCTCAACTTTAATTTTTTCATTTAGACTCATGATCATATTTGATTTGTATTTTTCACTTTACAGGGAATGGAAGTTGTTTTCAGAATAGCCATAGCAATACTCCAGTTATGTAAAGAAGATCTATTACAATTAGATATGGAAGGAATGTTGAAAGTGAGTCTTAATACTTAATGAAGGAAAAATTGTGATCCTTCAGTCATTTGAATACTTGTAATAAAAAAATGTTTTGATGTTTGCTTTTAAGTTATACTTATACAGATTTATAAATTGTAAAATGTCTTATCATATCAAATGTATAAAAAGAAAACTGTAGCATTAGAACATTATAAATTTATCAGAAGATTATTAAATATTCACTTTTACAGGCTGTTTACATTGAAGAGAGAATGCTTTTTATAGCCTTGTTTTATGTTGATGTCCGTTATTTACTTCAGTCAAGAATTTGTGCATGTTATGATACTGATTTTCTTCTTCTGTGTTTCTATAGTATTTTCAGAAAGAGATGCCATCAAAATGTGAAACTGATCCTGATTATCTAATCAACATGGCCTTACAAGTCAGTTATAATAGCAAGAAAATGAAAAAGTGGGTTTATTTTTTAATCATATATATCAAAACAAAAACCTTTACAGAACAGTTGTCTGCAATATTAATGTATTACAATTTGATATAAATGTAAAATACTAATTTTTCATTGTTAGAATAAACTAAACTCATTATACCTGAATAGATAATAAACAAAAGTTTTAATGTAGAATTGGAAAATTTTCTTGCAGATTAGAAAAAGAATATTCAGTTTTAAAAACAAAAGAACAAGAAGAAATGATAGAAATGCGGGTAAGTGATTGGTTTTGTACATTGGGATAAAGAAATATGCAAAGAATACAAGAAAAAAATAATGTTAAATGAAAATAGAAATCTTGTTATCATGATTCTACACAGAAAAAAAAAAATGGTATATAGATCCTTGCCTGAATAATTTTAGCAGAGTTACTTTCATCAAGGGCTATGTTTTTACACAAAACAGAGGTTTATTATGTTATATTAAAACTACTTAGAAGCCTCACCATGTTGCAATATTTGGCTATCCTCTATCTGATGACTATGCATCTTGATAATAGCCCTACAGTGCAATTTTCATTGCAAAAAGCCCTATTGTAAGAATGTCATATCAAAAGCAAATCACACCTCCTTGCTTACTTTCCATAATCCATCTAGTGTATGAGGGCAACTGTTTCCTAGCATTCAGCAAGCAATGTGACATATATTTCTTGTAAAATAGTCTGAATACTTGGCCATTCTTTGGCTACTTAAGGTATGTCATGGAAGCAACTTGTGTAATGTGACTTGTATTCTTGGATTCTCACCATAATTTGCTTAATATGGCTGGAGTATGACTTGTTACAGGTCTCTATGTCTGGTTCTGGTCCCTTAACTTGATCTATGTTTCTTCGTGTTTCAATGCTATTGGAAATTCTAAATCGCTGAATTGAAAATGCCTTTATGATCTGAGTTTATGAATATTTTGTACTGGAAAGGGCTGTTGCATATCCTTCCCAAAAGTGACCATTTTAACATGGTTTAATGTTTTTTAGGTAACATGACGACACCAAAAACACCTTGATTTTATATTTGCTGTATATTGTACAAAGAAATAAGGACATAAAATGTAAAGTTAATTATTGGGTAGCACCTCCTTTTGTGTTGGCCAGAACATGAAATCAATTATGTTCTATATCAGAACTTGATCCAGCGTGTCTTATTTTTGGGTGAGTGTAGTGTTCAGTTATTCACATTACTTTGTACATGGATGGGTTCATTGTAGTTTCCTATAGATATATTTCTAAAGGTGTGCAATATGATATCAGGGCTCTTCAAAACCAAAGGAAGAAGCTGGAAACATTGTTGTGTCTTCAATATAGTGGTTGTTTGAGCAGGATGACATACTGATTGATCTTTCATGAAGTATACTTGTGAATTGGGAAGCTGAATTATTTGGAGACACTGATCAGATGTGGAACATTTTTAAAGATAATTTTTTTATTATTCAAGGTAAAAAATATTCCTTAGAAAATGGTAGCTGCAAGTAAAAAACCAGGTTGGCTCACAAAGAGTATAAGAGATAAAATTAAAGAAAAGCATCATAAATTTAAGAAATTTAAATTGACTGGTATGACAGGAGAGTTAGAAGGTTATAGAAGATCAAGAAAGTTGGTGAAACAATAAATTGGGACATCAAAAAGGATGTATGAGAAAATGTTGTCTGAAAATGTAAAAATTAACAGTAAGGATTTCTTTAAATACATTAAGGGTAAACAAAATGTTAGGATGAGGTAGGACCCTTGAGGGATGATAAAGGAAGGCTCGTTCATATCTGATGATTACGAGATGACTGGGTTATTAAATGTTGCTTTTTCTTTGGTTTTTACTAACTAAGATTTAAGCAGTATTCCACATCTTGAACAGTTGATAGATGGAAATGAGGTGGAACAAGATGACTGCATTAATTCTGAGCTGGGTAAGAAAAAATTGGGAAGTTTAAAGAATATAGCTCCTGGGCTAGATATTATTTCCCCAATGGTTTTGAAGGACATCAGTTGTAAGAAAGGTTTTGGAAAGTCTGATAAAAGATGCTTTCCAAAGTCATTTAACAAAGTTTAGAATTTTATTGAATAGTTAACATGATTTCATTAAGGAAAAATCTTGCCTTACAAATCTTTTGACATTCTTTGAAAAGGTTACTTCTTATGTAGATGAAGGTAAGAGTGTAGATTTGGTTTATCTGAATTTTCAGAAAGCATTTGACAAAGTGTCACATTAAAAAAAAAAAAAAATTATCTCTATAGGTGTGGGGGATAAGTTTGCAAATTGGATAGAAGGGTGGTTGGATGGAAGAAAGCAAAGGGTTGTTACAAATGAGGTTCAGTGAAACTGGAAAAATGTCACAACTGGGGAACCTCAGGGCTCAGTCTTAGGACGTTTGCTCTTTTTGATTTATATCAGTGACATAGATGAAGGAATGGTCAATAAAGTACTTACATTTGCAGATGATATTAAGGTCTTGGGTGTTGCCAGCTGTGAAGAGGATGCTCATGATTTACAAATAGATTTAGATTATTTAATGAGTTGGGCAAATAAATGGCAGATGGGTTTTGATTATAATAAATGCAAGATAATGCATGTGGGGTATCATAATATGAATAAGTATAATTTGGATGGGAATGACCTTAACAGTGTCATGAAAGATAGCGATCTTGGTGTAATAGTTGATTAGTTTCTAAAGCCATCTAAACAATGTGCTGTTGCTAGTGGTAGGGTGAATAGGATTTTAGGTTATATCTACAGAAAT